CCCCCACCCCCGCCCCCAACTCAGAGGAAGGCAGTATGCCAGTGAGGGCATTATCATGTCTCAGCAACCAGAGTCGGGTTGCCTACCACTCACGAACCCACTCATCCCTTACAGCTGAGCTACCAAATCCACTGCAGTGGAGTGGATTCTGACCCTCAGGGACTTGACATAAGAGTTTCTGAGGCTGGACAACTTTAAGGGAGCAGAGAGCTCCCACTCAGCAGCTGGTGGACTTGAACCACTGGCCGTGGTCTTACCCAACAGTGCTATCAGGGCTCCTACACGGGAGCCAAATTAAAACCTGTAAGTTCCCTTCATCCAAGGGAAGTCCATTACAACACCAACAACACTTTAACTTCCACATAGGTCCACCCAGTGGATGGGGCCCCAAAGCTTTTCTACCCAGACTAGTGGGCACGGCCAATGCCTGCCTTGGGGGGTCAGTCCTTCTTCACAACTGGGATATAAGTACCATTTGTAAGGCCCATGAGGAAAATTGACAAATGTGTCCTGGAGTCACTCCACCCAGCTTCTCAAAGCAGGTCTCTTCACCACCCAGCTTTTCATCAGAGATGGTGTAGATTATGAGCAATGTAATTACTGTGATAAGATCCAAACTACGGCATCATATGATCTACATGACAAGGGAGTTGTATAGAGCTGTGTATATATGGGAAGAGGCTTCTTTTTCTCTCACAAGAAGCCCAGCTGTCATTCCTTAGCTGCCCACAGCGATCTATTAATTTTTAAAGTGGGGATTTCACACGGGTGATAAAGCTCCACGAATCCCCTGGTTGTCCAATCTTCAATTCCTCGCCATTCTCTGTCTGCACTCGCTGCTAACCTTCAGTGGAAGGTTCCAGTCCGCCCAGTGTGGAGGGAGAAAGAGCTGGTGACCTGCACTCATAAAGGTTACAGCTTAGAAAACCCCATGGACTGGATCTACGCGGTCACATGAGGTCAGAAAATTCATACTTAAATTCGAACATACTTAACAACACTAACTGTCTGTGTGGAAATCAATATCCCGTTCCATTCCGTTGACCAATTAACTTAAGCTGTGTAATCCTTATAAAAGTCGAGGGCACAGCGTGCAGCAAATGGACACTCCATATTCTAGCTAGGATTTAGTACTAGCACTGTTCAAATACCCAAACCAATGGGCAAGCCCAGCTCCTGGGGAACCTCCGGGAAGGCCCTGACCTCTGAATAGGGTATATGATAAATTGATGTCATGCTGCACACAATTTGCCATTAGAGGGCGTTGCGGTCACAGGCATGTAAACTGATCTGAGACCTACGGCTGGAAACTCCAGCTTTCAATCCACCTTCCAACCAGTGTCCTTTCATAAGCGATGATGAATTTAATATTTCAAAGCTACACAGATGTGGCAGTGAGCTTTTGGTTTTGCTCTTTTGCTATCTAACAGGTTCAAATAGCAAATTGTCTTGATACACAAGAACTTCCTGCAGACCCCCAATGTCAGCTCTAATTCATTCACTGTTACCAAGCCGGGTCTGACTCCCAGGGACCTGGCAGGACAAAGTAGAACTGCCTATAGGGTTTCTAAGGCTGCGATTTTTATGGCTGCAGAGCTGGTGACCTGCACTCATAAAGCCTACAGCTTAGAAAACCCCTTGGATCAGGTCTACAGTCACATGAGGTCAGAAAATTCACAGTTAGAGGTCAGAGTGCCTTAACTTTCTAAGAGCAGCTGGTGGGTTGGAATCACTAACCTTTCAGTTAGCAGATGAGTGCTTAACCTCTGGACCACCAGGGGTCCTTCCAGTTCTAATTACCTCTTACAATTTTAATCATATTATCAAAATTAAACTTTTGTTTGAAAGATGAGGATTCTTCACGAGTTAAAGATGGAATGGGTCAGTGTGTTATAGGATGTATGGGAGACAAAGCGTGGCTTTCAAAATATATTTGGTTAGTATTATTTCTCCTTTTCATTAAAAATTACACAACAGAAAATGTGGAAAACAAAGAAGCTGAATGAGCTTGAGGCCATTGCTGCAGCCACGGTGTCAGCCGTTTTGTCCTTCTCCGTCTTCTTATTTGTTCATCTCAGTTATTCGTGCATAAAAGAAAGCTTATACTTACTTTCTATAGACATAGACGACAGTGGTGAAATACACAACAGTATTTAGCAAGTATATTCTCCACTAAACAAAAAAGCCACACCAACACTTGCCAACTGAGTGGATGTCAGTTCCTACTTACATGGCAGGGTAGAACTGCCTCTGTGGGTCTCCGAGACTGTAACTCTTTCCCGAGTAGAGAGTAACCACCACCACCCTATTATCCCTCCTGAGGAGCGGCTGGTGGTTTCAAACTGCTGGCCTTAGCTTGAAGAGTTTACTGCTCCCCACCCCCCTACTGGGGAGCAGCGCCATTACAGTTTGGCTACAGGAGGCAGGGGGAGAAGAAACCTAATGATCTGCTCCAGTAAAGAGTATAGCACTTGGGCGGATCTGCTTTCTCCTTTACCCATGGCATGGAATCGATTCTGACTCTTACATGGGTTTCATTACGTGTAGCCCCATCTTCCTCCTGTGGAGCAGCTGCTAAGTTTGAGCACCGAGCTTGCAGTTAACAGTGCAATGCTTACGTGCAGTGCCACCATGGCTGCCCTGTCCTCTCGGGTAACTAGAAGCTGGAATCCATTCAAAAGCACACAACAACGGAGTGGTTCACTATAGAATTCTCACCCTGCGTGTGGGGGACCCAAGGGGGATTCCTGCCTATCGATATCCCACGCAGCCACCGCACCACCTGTCAGGGGAAGCTTGTGTATGGCTTTGATGCTGAACAAGTGTCAGCAGAGCCTCCAGATGATGCCTGAGGACGAAAGCCCTGGGGATGTCTTCTGAAAATAAGCCACAGAAAGCCCAGGGGCCACGAGGATCCAGTCCTGCATGAGGTCTCCGAGTCAGCCAGGAGGCCAACTTAGTAGCTAAGAAAAAATGACATGTCCTTAAGGGATAAAGCCATCGAGGATTTTGAGGTGGAGAAGCTAAGCAAAGGAAGAGAGAAAGGAGACGTACTAAATAATAATGGGCTCGGTTCTGTGCAATAATGTTGGGCATTTTCTCTGAATTTGCCCTCATCCTGTAAACTCTAAATTAAGACTAGATGGTTCCCCATCACAAGTAGTGCCCGGAGGAAGAAGTGACGTAAGAGCTTTGGGAGTGAAAGGGCTCTCTTGGGAGTCACAGAACTTAAGGAAAGCACAGAGAGGCATGCGGTTTATTTGAGACCTTCACTAGAATCTATCTATGTATTTGCCAAGCAAAATATATAATAATAATAAACACCCAAAACTTAAAATGTTAGTGGAGATTTTCTCTCTTTCATTGTGCATGTGTGGGGATGTGCATGCATGCACAGGTGCATCAAGATGATCTCTTAAAAACTATCCCACAAAATGACAAGAAAGTATGTGGGGAAGATGGAAAGGCATGCAACAAAGTCCCACCTGGCCTGTGAAAAGCTGTGTGAGGGGCTATAAATAGAATTATCTTGGAAAGTACAAATCCGATCAGAAAATCGATTCTGATTGACCACAAGCAAGAACGTCTTTGGGACCAGCCACCTCCCTCTGCCCCCACATGTCAGTCACTGCTGGCATGCTTCTCAGTGCATGTCCTGATGCTGGCTTTCTAATAACTACTCAGACGTGTTGTGTGCGCTTTGGTTCCCATCATGTCCTAACAGCATTTTGGAAGACTATCTCACAGTGATTGTCTCTGAGAATTCTCCAGTCTAACTAATACAGTAATTCTGAACTTTTCAAAAACTTGAGTTCGATTCCTGATTTTTCTTCCATTCTATCCAGGTCTGTCTATTATGGCCCTGATCATAACGGTGGGTAGTGGTAGCTGGGCACCATCTAGAGTTCTTCTGGTCTCAGAATAGATGAAGCTATAATTGATATTAGCCTTGTAGTCTAGTTTCTTCTCTGAGAAATTGCTCTACTGAACTTTCATAGCTGTGTGTGTGTGTGTGTGTGTGTGTGTGTGTGTGTGTGTGTGTTTTCCCACAAAGCAGGTCTCAGATCTTTCTTCTGAGGCAACTCTGCATGGGTTCAAACCACCAGCCTTTGGGTTAGTATCCCAGTATTGAACAATCTGCACCATCCAAGGACTTCTAGGATTACCATATGACTCACTGATTCTAAAAGGATTGAAATCAGGGGTTCAAACAGATACCAAGGTTCATAGGAATATTACTCTCAATAGCTACAAGGTGGAAATAACCAAGCGCCCATTCACAGATGAATGGAGAAACACAATGTGCTCTGTCCACGTCGTGATGAGAATCCAGTTCTGATGCGTGCTATGGCATGGCTGAACCTTGAAAGCATTATTGTGAGTGAAATAAGCCAGACACAAAAGGATATATCTGTATGATTCCACTTGTATCAAACATCTGGAATATACAAACTAGATGAGTGGTTACCAGGGACTGGGGAGAGGATGGGATGGAGAGTTACTGCTTGATGGGTATCAATTTTCTATTTCAGGTGATAAAAATGTTTTGAAATTACCCTGGTGATGCTGTTGGGCAAGTGTTGGACAACTAACCAAATGGTCAGTGGTTCAAGTGCACCAGCCACTCTGAGGGAGAGAGATGCAGATATCTGCTCCCAGAAAGATTCATAACTTCTCCTATCCTACAGCTGGTCACTGCGAGTCAGAACTGACACGGTGGCAGCAGGGTGGTGTAATGGCTGTACAACACAGTGACTGTAAGTTATGCCACTGAACTGTACGGTAAAAACTAT